CCAGTCGCCTGTTGGGCATTGTGGGAAATGAGCTTCCCGGAGTTACTCAGTGGAGAGGTACGAGGAAAGCACCCGGCCACTTGCTGTGCTTTGTGGGAGGTGAGCTCTCTGGTGCCACCCCGTGGAGATTTCCAGGTATAGCACTGAGCTCTCAGGAGGGCATTGTGGGAAATGAGTTCTTTGGAGCAACCACGTGGAAATGTGTGGGCATAGCACCTGGCCATCAGCAGGGTATTGTGGGGAAATGAGGTCTCTGATGCCACACCGTTCATATTGTAGGCATAATAATGGGTCATCAGAAGGGCATTGTAGGAAGTGAGCTGTCTGGCACACCCCGTGTAGATATGCAGGCACAGTACTGGGGAGTATCCATGGCATTGCTGGAAATGAGCTCTCTGATGCCACCCCGTGGAGATGTATGGGCAGTGCACCCAGCTGCATGCTGGGCACTGTAGGAATGAGGCACGATCTCATACAAATGCGTGAGCATAGGACCAGGCTGTCAACAGGGCATTGTGGGAAATGTTCTCTCTGGTGCCACCCTGTGGAGAAGTGTCAGCATAGCACCCAGCCACCCGCTGGGCACTGTGGGAAGTGTGCTCTTTGACGCCACTCCGTGGAGATGTGCAGGCACAGCACCCGATCACCCACTGAATTGTGGGGAAGTGAGCTCTCTGGCTCCACCCCATAGAGATGTGCAGGAATACCACTCTGTAATTACACCTGTAATCCTAGCTATTCAGGAGGCTGTGATCTAAGGATCATGGTTCAAAGCCAGCCTGGAAAAGAAAGTCTATGAGACCTTTATCTCCAATAAATTGCCAAAAAAGCTGGAAGTGGAGCCATGGCTCAAGTGGTAGGGACCTAGCCTTGAACAAAAGAAGCTCAGGGGCTGTGTTCAGATCCTGTGCTCAAGTCCCAGTAACAGAAAAAAAAAGGTAAATTAGGGTGTTAATCTGTGTACATTGATTTTCTTATATAGAATATGTTATCATTTTCTTTCTACTTGGAAAATATATAAAATTTGGTACATTCTGGATTTGATTGTTTTGGATTAATAAACAGCACAAACACAAACTAAACTTTTTACAGTGTACTCAGATGAGAATGACTTAAATTCTCATAATTCTCTTGATAGAACTATTGAGCTTTGGGGAAGTGGGGAGGGGAGGGATGGTAGGGACAAAAACAAAGGAAGGGTAAATGCTCGATAGGAAATGTACTCATTACCTTACTCATGTAACTCTGCACAGTATTTTTACAATAAAAAATATGTAAACTACTGAGCAAATCCTAAAAATACTGAACTCGACTGGACTGGCACCATTGTTATTCCCAGAAACCAAGGATTTCATAGTATTCCTCTAAATAATTTGCCTGAGCAAAAAAGATGAACTTGTTGAGACTTAGCAGAACAGAAGCAAATGTCAGTACTCTGGAAGTCAGAGCAATCAAAAAAAATGTTTAGGTATGCCTCAGCTTTTCTTCAATCTCCTCCATTTGATATTCAACTCATTCTTTTGGTATTGGAGTTAGAAATCAGGGTCTTGCACTTTCTAGGCAAGTACTCTACTACTTAAGCCATGCCTCCAACTACACATTCAAATCGTTAATTGGATTGTTGGCACTACAGTCAAGTTTGGACTAAAAACCTACCACCGGGTTTTGCCACCAGGTCTACTGAAGCTGTGGTTTCCTGAAACCTTTCTACATGTTCCTCTTCACAGACCCCTTTTGGCAAGTAGACACACAGGGATGATTATTCAGAGCTCCAACTTGTTCACCAGTGCTAATACTTTATATGGAAGTGCTTAGGACTGTTTCTGATATGTTGGTGTCTTCTCTTGAAACTTCACTTCCTATTTGTCACACATTTGTGTAAGCTTAAATCCAATGTTAAACTCCTTGTTTCCATAATACTTGTCTGGCTGTTTTCTCATTAAATTTAAACAGACACAAGTTAGTCACAACCATTACCATCACTTCCACCTTATATTCTTCAGAAAATTCAGTTGTGAGAAATAAATCTGTTGCCAAGGTAGAACCATTCAGTAGTATCTAGGACTGCTATTATTGCTGTTTGAATCAATGGTGCTAGGGATTCGAAAAGAAACCACCACCAAATAAACACGTTTACCTCTGTGTGGTTAGAAATTATATACTTCAGATACAATCTGGATGGCCTAGAGAGAGGAGCTCAAATGGGCTGTTTTCAAGTTACCCTAACCTGTAAAAAAATATTCAGCTACCTAGGTTCACAGGTGACAAAGGTTTTTTTATTATTATTTTGGGGATGTGGTCTAGCTTTTTTTTTGTTTTAAATTGATCTTTACCCATTTTTCTTTTTTTTTTTCTGTTTAGCCAACCCTGTTTGCTATAGTGAAATGTTCTCTTCCACCTTGCATCTTCCTTTGAGCAATCTCTTTCAGAACTAAATTTTATTTTTATTGTAATTAATTTATTTTTGGTGGTAGTGGATATTGAACTGTAATTAATTTATTTTTGGTGGTAGTGGATATTGAACCCAAAGCCTTGTATACACTAGGCAAGTGCTCTAACATTGAGCTATGCCCCCCAGTGTCCCTTCCCCACCAAACCATTCAACTTAGATACATTTATTTTTTAAAGTATTACATGGAATCCCAGTCTTTGGAGGTTTTTTCCCCTGTTTTATGCCTTCATAACTCATGGTTTAAAGATGAGCTATAAAGGCTATATGATCATTCTTGGATATTTTTCTGATTTCATCATGACTTATACACTTTTTCACGCTTTTTGTTGCATCTTTTGGTTTTGAACAAGTTGACACTATATCATAGATCTTTAATAAAGGATTAAGAAAACACTTCTTGCCAGGCTCCAGTGGCTCACGCCTGTAATCATAGCTACTCAGGAGGCTGAGATCTGAGGAACACAGTTCAAAGCGAGCCTGGGCAGGAAAGTCTGCGAGACTCATATTTCCAGTAAACCACTAGAAAACTGGAAGTGGTGCTATGGCTCAAGCGGTAAAGTGCTCGCCTTGAGCTGAAGAGCTGAGGGACAGTGTCCAGGCCCAGAGTTCAGGCTCCATGACCGACAAAAAAAAAAAAGAAGATGACATGTCTTTGTATATCTTCAGCAAAAAATAACAACCCTTTGTTCTATACCGTATGGTTAAATGTCAGCAAATGAGATCAGACTCCAGTAAAAATTTCTGAAGCAAAGAACTCAATTACTCTTAAATTTTATTAATGTCTTCAGTTAGTTCATTATTTACACTAAAACACGTGCTTTAAAAAGCAGTCTGATACATAAATAGACCAAGGAACACTTGGATAACTAATCACTAAAACATGCACACTCAGTTTTACTCAGGTGGTCATAAGAAAGGAAAGTAAGCTTTAAGCATTTTTCTTTGTATTAAAAATATTTGGGGGGGAAGGATGGGAAGGGATGGGAAGGGGAAACAAAGGAGGCTACACTGCTTGATAAGAAATGTACTCATTATCTTGCTCATGTAATTGTAACCTCTCTGCACAGTATTTTCACAATAAAAAAATAAAAAAAATTTGGAAATTATTATTTAGGAATGCCAAAGGTTTGGTGTTGATAAAGAAGACTAGAAAAACATTTGTGTTATGAATAAGTTCCTGTGGGTCTATGGTATATGTCACATAAATGAATCAGGTAGCATGAATTCAGTGTTTTAGAAGGAAGAACAGGTACTATGAGTCTAATTATAGGACATACATACAAATTGAAGGCACATAACTAGGCTAAACAGGTGGCTAGTTTCTACAGACTAATTTGTTCTTTCACTGTGTAAAGGGTAAAATGTAATATAACTTGTTTAATGGAAACTTAATAAATAGATGCAATAAGATCTAGGGCAGCAATGTCTTCTTTTCAGCTACACACTAGCTAACAGATATTAAAGTAGATGAAATGGTATTATTATAGTACAATTTACTTATACTGTAGTAAAATATATGATAAACTACTTTGTCTTGTTTCTGTATATCACACTGACTATTCTCTTTCGGGTTTCAAAAAGAATTCCTCAAAATTAGGCAGAAAAAAAGAATTTATTAAATCATAAAGGATACTCTATTACTCAACAGGAGTCAAATCCAAATCTGGACTTGATGTTTAACAGTATTGATTTTGGGCTTTTCTCAGAACGGAAAAAATACCACCTTTCCATCTTACCTCTCTTGTACAGCAAAAATGCTAGTACATTCACTGTGTTCTGTTCTTCTTTGGCAAGTCAGTCATTTTGCCTCCCCAACCCTCCATTACCCATTCTACTAACAACACATATGCCCCAAATATGCACAGAAGAAAAGGAATATGAAAAAACTCCACAACTTTTAGAAATATTTAAATAGAAATCTCCTCAAATCAACTACAATGAAGAAACAGAAGATATCAAACTATCTACTGTTCTTTCACTAACTTTATTCCCAAAAGTAAATGCTAGGAGGAAAAGTATAATCTTTGTGTTTCTAACAGGCTAGGAAAATGATCCACATATAATTCAAATAATGTTTAGTACTTTACCTTTCTGGGCTCCTACTGTAAATAAGCAGCACCAACAACTAAGTACAATTCCCAAAATAAGAACTATTCTCCATTTGTATTGTTTTGAAGCACCTGAAACTCTTCCATAACAAAAGATATGAAGATAAGTTGCTAGTAATGTTATCTCCCAAATACTTCTGTGTGCATATAAAATCATACTTTTATTAGACAAGTTGTATGAGTGGTGGCTTTTACCTTGGCAACAACTTTGTGCAATTAACACTAAGATTAATTTTAGAAGTAGATGACACTAGTTAACAAACAAAAGCCTTTCTAAAGCTACTGCTGTGATCAATGATTCAATCTGAAGTGCACTGGAATAAACTGTTAGGACAAATATATATATATTTTTTAAGTGAAAAGAGGGTTGAAGCAATTGGCAGACACTTTTTGTAAGTACTGCAAAGCCTGAGTTACATGAATTACTTTTAACTCTTTTGTCCCTCTTATCCTTGGTTAACAGCTTCTTTATTTCTTCACACAGTTTGGCCATGTAAATCCACCACAGAGAGGTGACACAATGATATAGATGAAGACCTGGAAAAAAGGAGGCAGGCAATTTTATTCTCTTGCATCTATCATATACTTCAAAATAATATATAAAGTGTAGTGCAACCTATTAAAGAACACTGCTAAGCTGGGCACTGGTGGTAATCCTCGCTACTCAGGAAGCTAAGATCTGAGAATTGTGGTTCAAAGCCAGCACAGACAGGAAAGTCTGTGAGACTCTTATCTTTAATTAACCACCAAAAAGCCAGAAATGGAGATGTGGCTCAAGTTGTAGAATGCTAGCTTTCAACACAAAAAGCCACAGGACTGGGACAAGAAAGGAAGAAAAGAAAGAAAGAAGGAAGGAAGGAAGGAAGGAAGGGAGGGAGGGAGGGAGGGAGGGAGGGAGGATAATTGATTTTATTACAGTAGAAGTTGTGTACTATGCAACAAAACAATATTTTCAAAGACAGAAATAGCATTGAAATTATCTTTTCTAATCTCTCATCCACTTAAGTTCCACTATTTTTCTCTCAGAAAGCAGTAGGTAACCAGGCAGAACCAAGGCTATAAGAGCGACCCCATTGATGCAACATTAATATGTGATAAAAATCCCAAATAGCTGGATGCCTCATGCCTGTAATCCTATCTACTCAGTATGCTAAGATCTGAGGGTCACAGTTCAAAGCCAGCCTAGGCAGAAACATCCATGAGACTCTATCTCCAATTAACCACCAGACAATTGAAAATGGTGCTGTGGCTCAATGTAATAGAAGAGCATTAGCCTTGACTGAAAAAGCTCAGGAACAGCAGTTTAGGCCCTGAGTTTAAGCACCATGACCAACCAAAAAAATCCCAAACAACTACAATTTCCTTGAAGTACTGTTTCATTATAAACTGTATTTTTAAGGTTTTAGGCTTGAATTTGATTTTTCAATAATCAAGATAAAAACATAAGGAAAACCATGGAGAAAGACTATCTCTACATAACTTAATTATAAAACCAGCAGATAATGACACAAGAGTTACGATTACCAAAGCAAGGAAAAGCTGATGATGGAACATTTTCAAACTACTAATCCTATTATAGCTATGTTAAATTTTTAAGGCAGTACTACAACTTTATTTTATTAATTTTTGTACTAATAGTACCATGCCTTGAACTCAAGGCCTCACACTCTAGCTCAGCTTGCTTGCTCACAGCTGGTACTACTGGTACTACTGGTTAATTTGATATGGAGACTCTCAGATTTTTCTGACAGGGCTGGCTTCAAATAGCAATCCTCTGATTTCAGCCTCCTGGGTAGCTAAGATTGCAGGCATGTGCTTCTGGCACCTGATTTAGTACTGAAATTTAAATTATGACACTTTTATCAAAAAACTGTGTTACCTACATAGTATTATACATACACACATTTACATACACATATTCCACAATTTAGGGGACTTGTTAGGAAAGGGGTTATGTAAGTGTTAGGTTTGGGAGTGAGTTAGTATTGGAGAAAGTGTTAGGTACACAATGATGTATGGATTTAGCTTAGCAGACAATTTAGGGTAAGGCATAAGGTTAGAGTTAGGGTGTATGATGGGGTAAATGTTAGGGAAATGTTAAGATAATGTTTGAGTTTAAGGTATGAATTGGGGCTAGGGTAAGTATTAGGGTTTGGGGTACATGTTGGGTGCATATAAGGGTACCTATATGGTTTAGAGTATGTGTTAGAGTACTTGATACTGTATATATTAGTGGTTAGGATATATGTTAGGGTACATGTTATGGTTAGGGTATGTGTTAGGGTATGTTAGGGTTAAGGTAACTGCTAGGGTTAGGGTACATGTTAGGGTGGATGTAAGGGTGATTTAGAGTATGTGTTAGGGTACTTGTTAGGATATATGTTAATGTTTAAAGTGTATTTTAGGGTTAGAGTATACTTGAAAGTACATGATAAGGTTATTGTTAGAGTTAGGGTACATGTTAGGGCACGGGTTAAAATTGGGGTACATGTTAGAATATGAGCATGGCCAGAGTTAGGCTGTATGATGGGTATGTCAGGGAACATGTAAGGACATATTAGGGTTAAGCTATGTGTTAGGGTTAGGGCAAGTGTTAGCATATGTGTTAGGTTATACATTTGGGGTACATGTTCGGGTGCACATAAGATTATCTTGTATGGTTTAGAGAATGTGTTAGTAAGGTTATCTTGTATGGTTTAGAGAAAGTATTAGTGGTTAGGGTACATATGAGGGTACATGTTATGTTTAGGGTACATATTAGGATATGTATTAGGGTTAGAACATGTGTTAGAGCCAGGTGCTGGTAGCTCATGCCTGTGATCCTAGCTACTCAGGTGGCTGAGATCTGAGGATTGCGGTTCAAAGCCAGCCCAGGCAGGAAAGTCCATGACACTCTTATCTCCAATAAACCACCAGAAAACTGGAAGTGGCAATGTGGTTCACTAGCTGAAGAGCTGAAGAGCTGAGGGACAGCACTCAGGCTCAGAGTTCAAGCCCCATGACCGACAAAAAAAAAAAAGAACATTGGTTAACGTTATGGTTTTGGTTATGTTAGGGCATGTGTTAGGGTATATATTAGGTTACTAATATAAAGTTTACTATCTTTATATAAAGACAATTTGTCACAGCTGTAATATGAAAATCTCACAAGCTGAAATATATTATGTTAGGTGAAATCTTTTAGCAAAGACTGACACTGCATTAGAACAGTGCTCTGCACATATATAGTAACCAATAAGTATAATTCAAACTTAATACAGCTTCAAAAATCAAACTAAATTCACACACTAACAAAGAAGAAGCTAAGCTCAGGAGCATAAAGACCATGACATAAAAGGATAAAAACTTACAATTGATATGATGATGATGATGATAGTGAGTTTGATATTCTTCATACACATGGCTCGAGCAAGATTTCTGCTGGTAGTTTTGAAGGTAACAGACTAGAAAGCAATCATAAATTGTTCAGCTCTTGGCACTGATTGCATGAATGATCTGGAGTAACACGTTGCAAAAATTTTGCTTTCATTCTGCTGAAGTCTCAATGTCCCTTACCTCTCTTTACAAGTAGCCACTCATAATTGTCAGTTCCAAATAGCAAGGTTCTACCAGATCTATCATAAGCTGTGAAAGCCCACTAAATATGCTTCACTTCCTTTCCTTTTTTTAACCATCCCAATGAACATGGTGTTGAGTACCAGAAGTGATTCTTCTAGTGAAAAGCATTTTCCTCTTTACATTTTCAGTAAGAAAAGTTCCTTCTAAACTATTTGGCTGCAAGCTCATTAGCTTATTCTGCCCAGTTCATTCACTGTAACAAATATACCTTATTAATGTATGAGTTCATAACAGAGAAACCAAGTATGGAGGTGGAAGGAAGGGATATATTTGAAATTCTTTACTATTTCTTTAGTTTTTCCATGAATCTAAAACTTTTCTAAAAATAAAGTATTATTTACATAAAAAAGAACATAGATGAAAAATTCCTAAACAGAAATTAGGAAATTTAATAAAGTGTTATATAAACAGGATATTATGGCATGACCTTGAAGAAAACGCAAGTTTGGTTTAACATTAAAAAATATGAATGTAAGTTACCATAATAATTGAAGGAGAAAAAACATATAATTATCTTCATAGACAAAAACTTTTGACAAAATTCACCAATAAAACTCTCAATTATAGAACTGAAAGGAACTCTTTGACCTGATAAAAGGTATCTACAAAATATCTACAGCTGAGCCAGGCATCAGTGGGTCACACCTGTAATCCTAGCTACTGGAAGCTGAAATCTGAGGATTGTGTTTAAAGCCAGCCCAGGCAGGAGTCTGTGATATTCTTATCTCCAATTAGCCACAAAAAAAAACCAAAAGTAGAGCTGTGGCTCAACTGGCAGAGCTCTAGTCTTGCACAAAAAAACTCAAGGGCAGTGCCTAGATCCTAAGATCAAGCCACAGGACCAGCACACACAAAAAATGATGGTACAATACTGAATTTTTCCCCATCAGATAGTCAACAGGTAAGATGTCCACTGCTGCTGCTTATATTCAATCTTAGAATCTACTGAAAAGCTACAACAATTGAATTTCCCAAACTTGCAGGATTCAAACAAAGCCAATATATAAAAATAAATTTTGTTCCTATATACTAGCAACAAATTCAGGCAACCTGATTCTAGAGTTTGTGCTTCTAACCACTATAAATCTTGTTGCCAGTTGTAACAAACATGCATTATCATAGTGTCAACAAAATAAAGTTTTATTTGGAAAGTACAAGTTACACTAGTACTGATCAAACATAAACTACTTCAGCTAAATAACGTTACCTTCAGGAATTAAAAATAGCCGAAAGACTGGAAGTAACTAATTAGGATTAGATACTTATTTGCCTTCTTTGTACTCCAGCATTTAAATGTGTAATAGTGTAGATTCCAATTGTAACTGGTTTCTGCATTCTTTCTGTATCTACCATCTTTCTCTCAAATTTTTATTTACCTAATCATATGGAACAATAAATGATACATGTAACTGCAGCATACCTAACTTATTACACAGTTTCCTTTAAGGCTTACTAAGGGCTTTCCTAACCTATGATGTGGTTTGATAGAAGGAAAAGACCAAAGTATTACTATAAACAAGAAAGAGAACTGTTCAGTTTTCAAGATTGATCTTGGATCACAACTGACCTATACATTTGTTTCATACTGTGAGACTTTTTTTAGTAGCAAAAAGACTGGTTGGTACATAGTTGAGGTGATGATCAATCTAAAAATTGTACATTAATTCAAAGGCTTAGGAAACTGTTTTTGTGTACTGAGTATGCTTTCTAAACCAAAGATTCCTTAATGGCTATTAACTGGCTATTTTTCTATGCCTCACTGTTTCCTTCTTTAACACAATATTATAACATAGAATAAAGATATAATAGACATGAGAAAGGAAACAAAAAATAAACTTAGTATTAAATTTCAGGGCTTTTTCTACTTTCAACCATCATTTGTATCTACTTTGCATCCTGAAAAATTGTTATATTATACACTTACTGAATCCACAAGATTTTCTGTTTTGTCTATCAATAATTCCAATCTTTCTCCCCGCTGAGCAACCAGATCTGAAAATTTCAGAAATAAAAAAATCATATTTTCTATTACAAATGCATCATTTTTTTTCAATCAAGATCTGATTTCAATCATAGTTGGTGTTCTTGTCACCTCATGGGTATCACAAAAGTACTTATATGTTTAAATAACAACAGATCTCAATTTCTTTTTTTTGGTCAGTCATGGGGCTTGAACTCTGGGCTTAGGCACTGTCCCTGCACTCTTCAGCTCAAGGCGAGTGTTCTACCGCTTGAGCCACAGCACCACTTCCAGCTTTCTAGTGGTTTACTGGAGATAAGAGTCTCACGTACTTTGTTGCCCGGGCTGGCTTTGAACCTCGATCCTCAGATCACAGCTTTCTGAGTAGCTAGGATTACAGGCTTGAGCCACCGGTGCTCGGCTCAATTTTTGTTCTATCATATTCTCTTGACATGATGTGCTATACTCCTTAGGGTACTACTTGATCTTGGACTGGTACCTTCAGAACCATAAACAAAAATAAATGATTTATGTTAAAAATATTTTTATCAATTTATCAAGAAAAATAAAGGTTGGCAGTTCTGTTTAGGCCTTGTAGACCTACATTGCAATTACTCTCCTTGGTCATATTTAGGCATTATGTAAATGAATTATCATTGCTGTATTCTGATTAAACTTTATGTAGGAAAACAGACAGCAGACTACTTGACCTAAGAGTGGTAGTGTGAAAATCCCTTAATTGAGAGTATGATCTGAGAGTGGCGAAAAAAAGGAACAAAAAATGAGTGAAAGCTAGACACTTTTAGAATAATGGCACGAGAAGCTCATGACAAGTACAACCTGGGAAAACATTTTCCCCCTGCTGGGTCCCAGTTAAGGGTTATACTCATTCCAAAGGAGAGAGTATACAAGGGGAAGAGACAAGCCTTAAGAACACACAGCTTCCCTTCAGGGGACAGACTATTTGAAACAGAAGATGAGGTAGTTGAAGCCTAAGGAGGCTATCTAAAACAATGGATATTTTAGAGGAAGGTAAGTAAGATGAAACTGGTAGTTTCATGGGCAAAACAAACTAAAATTTAGGCCATTTGAAAGTAGAACCAGAAAAACAGGAAACAAGAAAGCTAACAGCCCTTCTGGAGAGTGGAAAATTGCAGTCATAATATTCAATGTAAGTATGAGAAAACAGATCCAGGTAACTTGAGGGGATGAGTGGGGTTGGGAGAGATGGGGGAGAACAACAGAAGGGTGACACTGATCAAGATGCATTGTACTCAAAAACTGACATGCTGAACTGGAACCCCTTTGTACAAACTACTTAAACATAATTTTTAAAAAATGTTTTGCTTTAAAAACAATTCTGCTTTCAGAGTTCAGAGCATGCCTGTAAGACTCCCCCTACAACAGAACCAAAATCTAATTAGATTATACTACAATTAGTAGAAATTAGCAGGTAAGTAAGGAAGAGTAGCAGAGCAGCCAGATGTTTAACAGGGAAATTAAGAGAGATCTGAGGAGAGTCATATTATTCTGGTTGGCAGGTCCAAGGATTTTCTCTCTGAGGAGTGACATTAGAGTATGCATATTATGTAAAGAATATATTCCACTGAAAAACTCCAGCCTAGTCAATAAATAAACAAACAACAAATCTTAAAGGGAATCAGTATTCAGAATGACTATAATACATTATCTAAAATGTCCACTTTCAACAGCTTTATGAGATATGAAAATAAACAGGAGAGTCTGAAACATATATAGGAAAAAGAACAGGGAATAGAAAATGGCTTTGATATTTAAGAAAAATGAAGTAAGACAGATAAATAAGAAGATAAGGAAATTATATTATTTTCAACAAAAATTCAAAGGGCCAGACTTACAAGTTAAAATCAGGAAGTAAACAAAAAAAGTAGACAAGCTTTGGTCCAATCACACCTTCTTTTTAGTGTTTAGTTACAAGACTAGAAGATATGAGAGGAGCTACCTAAAACAGGCCTTCTCTTCTGGAATATAGGAGAGGCTATCTAAACTTGTTTTATTTTATTTTATTAATTAATTTATTTATTTATTTATTTATTTTTGGGTCCGGTTGTGGGGCCTGAACTCTGGGCCTGGGCGCTGTCCGTCAACTCTTCAGCTCAAGACGAGCGCTCTACCACCTGAGCCACAGTACTACTTCCAGCTTTTTTCTTTTTGTTTATGTGGTGCTGAGGAATTGAACCCAGGGCCTCATGCATGCAAGGCAAGCGCTCTACCACTGAGCCACTTTCCCAGCCCCTTGTTTTATTATCTGAATGATAAAAAAATCTGGAAATTCTTCATGAATGGACAAAGACAGAAAGAATAAAAGATATGTCTTGCAAAAGGAAGTCTTGAAGGTTACCTGGGTTTGGGGTAGGATTCACCCACCTCACCCTCCCCAAACCACTGTAAAGTTTCGGAGTTGCTAGGTGACATTATCTGCATTCAACTCAGCTCAAAAAGTACAAAAACTACAGGTAAAAACTGTCATTTTGAATCGTTAATTTCCATTTCCAGCAAGAAGAACAGAAAATGTTTCTCTTTTTCTATTCCTCTCTACATTTTTAACCGTGATGTACTCAAGTAAATCCAGGCTAAAACTTTCATAAAAACAAAAGCAAAATGACTTGAGGTAATCTAGCTATTGAATTCAGCAAAAACTTCAAAGTTGCCAGGCCCGGATGTCTCACACCTGTAATCATAGATACTCAGGAGGCTGGGATCTGAGGATTGAGATTAGAAGCCAGTCCGGGGGGGGGGGGGGGTGGGGGGGGGAGTCCATGAGTCTCTTATCTCCAATTAACTACTAAAAAGTCAGAAGTGGAAGTATAGCTCAAGTGGTACAGCACCAGCTTTGGGGGAAAAAGCTAAAGGACAGTTCCCAGACGCTAAGTTCAAGGCCCACTACTGGCACAATGAAAAGGAAAGGAAAGCATAATGTATCACAAAGAGCTCAATAAAGATTTAAAGTAAACCAAATGGAAATAGAGCACAATAATCAAAATAAAAAAAATAGCTAGACAAAATCAGAAGTAGATTAGAAGAGATGAAAGACAAAATATCAGCAAACAGATAGGTCAATTCCCAATATCAGAAGATATTTAGGCTGAATGAGATATCAAAAGAATGAATAAAAATAACAACTTCACAGAACTGTGGGACATCGTCACAAATGTGCCAACATATGAATAATAGGTATATCAAAACAAGAGCTAGAGAAATGAGGGACATAAATGGAGAAATAAAATAGTGTCTGGGCAGGGGAGCTTAAATCTGTAATCCCAAATACTTAGGAGGCAAAGATTGGGAAGATGGCAATTCAAAGGCAGCCAGGAAAAAAAGAGTGGAAATTCATTTCAACATTCACTCCTGGCAATCCCAACTATGTGGGAAGTATAATGAAGGCGATCACAGTCTAAGGCTGGCCCTGGGAAAAAGTGAGACCTTACCCGAAAAATAACTAAAGTCAAAGAGCTGGGATGTGATTCAGCTGATAGCGCATTTGCCTAGCAAGCACAAAGCCCTGAGTTTAAAACACTAGTACTATCAAAAAAATAAAATAAAAAGAAATAGTGACAATGTACTGACACATTCAGTTATGAAAAGGAATAAAGTACTGATACAAGGTGCCACATGAATTAACCTCAATATCATTATGCTAAGAGAAAGGAGTCAATACACAAAGGGTCTCATATTATATGATTCCACTTCTGCAAAATGCCCAAAATTTTGTAAAAGAATTAGTAAAGACAAAAAAGAGATTGATTGTTGCTTAAATCTAGAGATTGAGAGAATATGAGGAGTGACTAAAAAGTATACAGAGTTTCTATCAGTGTAATGAAAAGTTTGATTTGTTGGGAACTTTACATATCCACAATAGTATAGCATTGGTTGCTTCCACTTTCACGTAAAATTTGGTAAGACAAAAATATTAGTAGTTTTTTCAATAGGCCCTCTACTCTTCATCTAGACATATTTAAAACTAAAATAAAAATAAATCACTTTACACCGGGTGTTGGTGGCTCACGTCTATAATCCTAGCTACTCAGGAGGCTGAGATCAGAAAATCACAGCTTAAAGACAACCCAGGCTGGAAAGTCTGTGAGACTCTTACCTTCAGTCAAGCACCAGAAAAGCTGGAAGGGAAACTATAGCTCAGGTGTTAGAGTAAGTCTTGAGCAAAAAAGCTCAAGGACAGTGCCCAGGCCTTGAGTTAAAGCCCCAGAACCAGCACAGTCTATCAATAAATAAATCACTTTAAATAGGCAAGAGATATGCATATAAAGATTAACAAAATGTTTCTGCACTTTGGTTATTAATTGTTTTCATGGGAATTAATCTAAAAAATAAGGTAAACATAATAGGCACAAAAATAGTAACAGTAATGTTAGTGTAACACAAATCTCTAAATCAGTACACCTTAATAATTAAGTGGTTTGCTACTGGTTTAACTAAGTCTCTAAGCACACTATCTCAGTCTAACTGACATTACTGCCAGAGTAAGAGATTCTCAATGAAGGAAGTCCAGCACTAATTTACATTCTTCAGCTAGGTCCTTATTTAGTAACAAAACTGTACTTTGAGTAAAATGACCCTATAGAACTTAGGTGTCCAAAGAAAAGGAGATAGTGATACATTAACTCAATGAAATACTGTATGACCAAATTCAATCCTTACTAAATTCCAGGCAGTATACAAAGTCTTTACATACATTACCACTTTTACCCTGTTATCTGTTGGTAATATTACTTTATTGATTTTACAGATCAGAGATTTTACAGATCAGACTTTAAAGTTCAGAGAGGATAGATGACTTCTAAAAGACTAATATATATGAAAAGTAAAACTGAGACTTGAATTCAGACATATATATGACTATAAACCTTAATCACTTTATTATATTGCCATTACAGAACAATATAAACATGACTATAAGTATGTATGTGTACATGAAGGTAAAAATTTAAATAGAAGAATAAAAGTAAATCTTTGCAACAATGAGACCAGGAGCAGAAATTTTTAAATGTCTTTTTATAATCTATAATTGTTCTAAGAATAAATGTAAAAGTAATTCAACTTGCAAATCCAAGATCATAAATTGGTATTTATGATATTTATAGTTATATATCTTATACAACAATTCAATTTTGTAAAAAATACTACCCTTAGAAGATATATGTAAAAAGTGTTCTTAAATTTGAATATGCATTGGAATCCTCTGGAGGACTTGTGAAAACACATCACTGGGGCCTACTCCCAGAAAGTCTGATTCAGCAGGTGTGGATTAGGCTCCCAAATATGCATTTTTTTGTGTGGGTCCTGAGGCTTCAACTCAGAGTCTGGGCACTGTCCCTGAGCTTTTTATTTTGTACAAGGCCAGCACACTACCATTTGAGCCACAGTTCCACTTCCAGGTTTTGGGGCAGTTAATTGGAAATAAAGTCTCACAGGCTTTCCTGCCCAGGCTGGCTTCCAACCATGACCTTCAGATCTCAGCTTCTTGAATAGCTAGTACTACAGGCATAAGCCATCAGCATCAAGCTCCAAATAGTATTTTTTAACAAACTGTTAGATGATGCTGATTCTACTAATCCAAGGACCACACTATGAGAACCTGAGCTTTGAGAATAATATACTTTGAAACTGAGCCTTGAAACTATACACCAATATCATCCTAAATTTAAACTCTACTGAATAAATCAATTAAAAATAAGATTCATGTATTTGTTTTGTTGTTGTTGGTGGTGGTGGTAGTGGTGGTTGTGGGGCCTGAATTTAGGGCCAGCATACTGTCCCTGAGATTTTGTACTGAAGGCTAGTATTCTACCACTTTGAGCCACAGCACCATTTCCAGTTTTCTGATGGTTAATTGAAGATAAGAGTCTCATGGGGCTGGGAAGGTGGCTCAGTGGTAGAGCGTTTGCCTTGCATGCATGAGACCCTGGGTTCGATTCCTCAGCACCACATAAGCAAAAAGAAAAAAGCTGGAAGTGGCACTGTGGCTCAAGTGGTAGAGCGCTAGCCTTGAGCTGAAGAGCTGAGGGACAGTGCCCAGGCCCAGAGTTCAGGCCCCACAACTGGACCCAAAAAAAAAAAAAAGTCTCATGGACTTTCCTGTCCAGGCTGGTTTTGAACTGCAATCCTCAGATCTCAGCCTCCTGGGAAGCTAGGATGATAGACATGAACCACCAGTGCCTGGCTCTCTGGCTTATTTTAATGTGCCAAGTATTCCTAACAAAATCAGCACAAGCCATTAGATGGAAATTATAACATAGTTTATTTCTCTGAAAAATACAAGTTGTTTTTTTTAAAACCTAATTCTTTCTTTTGGTCAATAGCCAAATATTGTTTTTCCAAACAATATTTTTTTTCTTTTTTTTTTTTTCCTCTTTTTTTTTCTTGGGTCCAGTCGTGGGGCCTGAACTCTGGGCCTGGGCGCTGTCCCTCAGCTCTTCAGCTCAAGGCTAGCACTCTACCACTTAAGCCACAGCACCACTTCTGGCTTTTTTTCTTTTTGCTTATGTGGTGTTGAGGAATCGAACCCAGGGCCTCATGCATGCAAGGCAAACACTCTACCACTGAGCCACCTTCCCAGCCCTTTCCAAACAATATTTTAGGAAGCTCCAGTATAGTTTAAGAATCTATATTTTCAGCCATATGGATATCTCCAAACCAAATTGTCATAGTAACTTTTTTTTTTTTCCGGTTGTGGGGCCTGAACTCTGGACCTGGGAACTGTTCCACAGCTCTTCAGCTCAAGGCTAGCACTCCACCAGTTAAGCCACAGCGCCACGTCTGGCTTTTCTGCTTATGTGGTGCTAAGGAATCAAACCCAGGGCCTCATGCATGCAAGGCAAGCACTCTATCCCTGAGCCACCTTCCCAGCCCTTAACTAAACTATCTTACAGAATAGCTGAAAGTAATAAGAAGCAGACAACAGCACAGCTAAGTTACATCAATATCTCAACTGATATTAGCTTCTAATAGTGAGAATAAATAATTGTGTCTGCATCTCTATTATAACTTGACTATAAAATAGTCATCATTGTTAATGTCTATATGAGTGAAACGCTATGAAACATACCTATGTTTCTGACCATGATTCCTTTCAGTTCATCCACTTGAGCTTGAGTCTCCATCACTCTGTCTACTCCCTTATTCTCAGAGTGATACTTCTACAAAAAAAGATACCTAGACATTATTTACAACAGAAAACAAAAATAAGAGAAATTATAACATATTAATCAGAAAAAAATGATATCACTATTTTATTATATAAAAGATACATGTCACTTTGCTGAAAAGATGGTCATCAGACCTATGGGGAAATACTGGAGGCACAAAAAATGCTTCCATATAAAAATCTAAGTATTATAGTATAAAGTATCTTATTTTTGAGTAAATTTAAGTGAAAGATACTACAATATGTCAAATATACAGCTGAGATTCTTGGGGGACAAGAGTGAAAGGTATATAATCTGTGGTTAGATGATGAAGAAAGGAATACAAAGAAGTCTGTATTTGGGGCAGGAAGGACAGAGACAAAATGCATGAAAATTGGTTCCCTACTTTTTGGATATAATAAGGCGGAGGCATGCTCTCTTTCTTATATTTGTTCTTCTATCTGCTGGCATCAAAGCATGCTACCTATTTTCATTAGCTTTTCACAGGATCTAGAATCTAGGTCACCAATGACAACATACATGTAGAAGTTATTATCCATAGATAACAACAATTGAGTGTTTAATACACAATGTCCCAGTCACTTCACTATACTGAATGCTTCAAATGGGATACTACTCAATTTACCTCAAAACTCTGGTGAAAATGCCTTCCGTATTTCTGCTTATAGATGAGGAAACCAGCACAGATTTGTTCAAAGGGTCAAACATAATTCTAGAGCTAATGAGAAACTGGCTAATTTGAAAGGTTTTCTGATAGCTGTCTATTTATTCACTGTGCACTAGTATACTTTTGATGATAGTGTTTTACATAGCATCAAATATGTAAACATCTCTTCGTAAAGAGTATGAAACAAACTACTGCTTAAATAATAAAGGTTGATAAGCAGGGTATAAATAATAGGAGTTTAAAAGGACTTCATTTCCTGAGGAATGAAGCCCACATATACTTTTTAAAGTACATGCATGCAAATATACTTTAAATATACTGCAAATATACTTTAAAAAATATTAAGAAGAACACTTATATACAAGTAAAAAATATCTAATTAAAAATGTCCTTTTTCCTACATTCGCAATACTATCATAGTTCTAGGTTAGGTCTTTGTAAGCATTTAAAAGATGCTCAGCATCATTAGTTATCACAAAAATGTTAACTAAAAACACATGAGATACAATTGCACACCCATCAAAACACCTAAAATTAAAGACAGACACAAGTGTTGGCAATGATGCAGCAACACTGGGCCTGGTGGTAAAAATGTAAAATTATGTAATAACTTGGGGAAAATGTGTGACAAATTTTAAGATATTACAAATACTTACCATATGAACCAATAACTCCATTCCTAGGTATTTTCCAAAAAGATATATATCTATATATATACACACACAAACATTTATATGTAGAGAATCATAGTTATTCATGAGAGTTGAGAACTGAAAACAATCCAAATACCTAGAAACAGGTTGAAAACTGAAAGCAATGAAAATATCTACAAACAGGTAAATGGATAAATGACTTATGGTATATACATACAATACTACTTATTAAAAAGGTGGCTCAGTGGTAGAGCGCTTGTCTTGCATGCCTGAGGCCCTGGGTTCGATTCCTCAGCACCACATAAGCAAAAAGAAAAAAGCCAGAAGTGGCACTGTGGCTCAAATGGTAGAGCACTAGCCTTGAGCTGAAGAGCTGAGGGACAGTGCCCAGGCCCAGAGTTCAGGTCCCACGACTGGACCCCTCCCCCCCCCCAAAAAAGTAAACAAACTACTGATTTATATAACATGAATGAGTGAATATAAAAACTTTTACAATGAACAAGACAAGCAAGACACAAAAAGATACACACTGTATCTTTCCATTTATTGGAAACTGTACAAAAGACAAAACTAATTAACAGAGATAGAAAATAGATTGTAGTTGCCTGGAGCAGAGTATGGGGGGAGGCAACTGACTGACTGGGAAAAGAAATGTTGGAAAATCTAGAGCAATGGAAATTCTTTCTGTCTTAATTACAGTGGCCATTTAAAGGGATATGTACACATACATATTTACATATGTAAGTAAAATGTCACTGAGTTAACAATTAGGGATTTATGTAGACGATCAGACTCCTAAATGGTTACTCCAAACTGCTTAAAAAAATAAACTTGTCTCATGAATGGATAGAAAGTTTATATATATGTTAAAAAGACAGTTGGCATGATCAGTGGATTTAAGCATTAGATGGGTAGCTTAACTAGATAATCTTTCATGTTCTCCCTACCTCTGAGATACTTTGACAACTATTAAGAAAGAATGTCACCAATTATCATCTTTCTACCATAAAATGGCCCCTTTACTTTTAGTAAGAAAATTTTATTATGTTATACAGTAAAACAATAAGAAAAGTGTACTGCAGGTCAGGACCCTCTGCATTCATGGTGATTTAAGCTAACAAGAAAACATGTAGGAGCGACAATGTTGTCAGACATCTTGTATTCCTATACTGTTTTGTAGAATGGGAACCTCTTTGTAGACCTACTTAAAGATAATAATAATAAAAATAAATAAAATTTTAAAAAAGAAAACATGAATCAAAACACTGTATCCTGAGAAAGATCTTACCAATTGTGCAGCCAAGACACTTGAGAACTCACTATTCATGGCATATGGAAGTGCTGTCTGTGCTCTTGAACCATAAGTAGTCTGAAATCTTTTCTTTACCTCATTCAGAAAATTGAAGGCTCTGGAACGTTCAAAATCCTAAAAAGTAACCAACATAGAATTCACACTTACAAAGTAAACAAAAGTGCCATGGATTACCAACAACAGTATAAACAGGATAATGGTTACTGAGCAATGACTCTATGAGGAGGAACTAGGACTAATTCCATTTTCTAAGATAAAGCAAAGACTTTGAAAAGGGTAGCTAACTTGACAAATGTGAAACACTTAGTAAATGAAAGAGTTGAGAGTTAAATCCAAACATGTCTGGTTATTGCCGATTGAGGTAATGGTAATGGTACCTGGGTTATTCAACTTCCTGAGGTTAGGAACTTGGAATTGATAGTTGCAAATAATGGTAATACAATGGAAAGGGTCATGTGAAATAACTTTGTCTATGCCCAGTCAGTCAATAAGTACATATACATGAATATGTATCAAATTATAGCTCAAGTAATATTTGACAATTCAAGATTTCATGATATTTTTCATCAATTCCAAACTCTTTCATACCAGTTTTGTCAGATGTTGATGTTTGTTTGTTTTCCCCTGATTTTAGAAGGTACAATGAGACCATGGTTAAAATCATTATGATTATCACTATGGTTGACACTCTTTTCCACTTCACCTAAGATAATTAGTCTAGACCAATGTTTTTAAAAATGGAGTTGATGTTAAAAATTCAAAGGGAGCATGCTCTTAGACAGAAAAAAATTGCATTGTTATTTTCACTGGTCTTTAACTTAATTTTCAACAGCAGTAGCTCATATCTGTAATCACAGCTATTTAGGAGGCAGAGATGAGAAGGATCAGATCATAGTTCAGGGCCAGTAAGGGCAAAAGGTTAGCAAGACTCCCATTCAACAAATAACATGCATGGTTGCTCATTTATGTGATCCCAGCTATACACAGAGCATATTGTAGGAGGACCATGGTCTAATGTTGCACTTACACAAAAAAGACTATCTAAAAAAATGACTAAAGCTAAGTGGGGTAAGTCCTGGCTTCAAGTGGTAGATCCTGCCTAGCAAGCACAGGACCCCAAGTTCAAACCCCAGTACTGCCATAATATTTTTTGTCCTTTTAACTGTGAATGTAGGTAATAAATCAGAGGAGTATTAAGAAGTAATTGCAATTTTGTCATCTACAGAAATCTTTTTTATATACCATGGCCATTATAGATACATGGAGAACATTCAAGCTCATCTCTATTTCAAACTTTTTACTTGTTATTAGACTCATGACTAGGTACTGTTAATGAGCTCATAAAGAAGTATATTTATTATTGTATCATTTAAAATACGTTCAATATTATAAATACGCATATTTTAGTATAATCAGTTTTGTTTAGATCACATGCATACTATTTCATATATTTAATAACATTATGAACATGCCCACAGGTGACAAAGGGGTCTGTAACAATAAATGTTAGAGCTCAATGTTGGTGGCTCATGCCTATAATCCTAGCTACTCAGGAGGCTGAGAACTGAGGATTGAAGTTCGAAGCCAGGCTAATCAAGAAAGTCCATGACTCTTATCTCCAATAAACTACTCAGAAAAAGCTGGAAGTGGTGCTGTGGCTCAAGTGGTATAGCACTAGCCTTGAGTCCAGAGAAGCTTAGGGACAGTGCCCAGGCCCTGAGTTCAAGCCCTCGCACCAGCAAAAAATAAAAATAAAAATCCAAAAACCAAAAACAAAAAATACCCCCAAAACAATAAAGGTTAGGGATCCTAACACATGGCAATTGTGCCAATTCCATTACCAGAACAGTTTAGAAATAAGCATGTGGCCAGTAAGACATGAAAGGATAGTCACTTCAAAAGTAAGGAGAAGGCATAGATGTAGGAAATGTTTCCTTATTCCCACAATAAGAGACTAAAATACAAAGGCATGGCACAGCAGCTCACACCTATAATGCAGCTACTCAGGAAGCAGAGATGGGGAAACTACATAGGAAGTACAAAGAAGAAAATCAGTCTAGGCCAGCCTGGGCATAAATGAGATCTTATTCAAAAACTAAGTAAAAGCAAAAAAGACAGTGGGGGCATACTTCAACTGGCAGAGTACCTGCCTAATAAGGGCAACATTCGGAATTCATACCCTAGTACCACCAAAAGAAAAAGACTAGAGAATCTAATTCCTATTTTTTATACATGACTAAATAAGCATGTAGCTCCATGCAATCATTAGGGAAACTTCTAGGGGAAGAAACTGACAAGAAAGAGAAGAGTTGTTGATGGCATCATAAAGTTACAGAGTTTTTGGAGTATAGAGCCAAGAAACACTAAAGAAAAAAATGCCCAGAACATAACTGGATGGGGGACATGGCTCAAGCAGCAGAGCTCTTATCTAGCAATTCTAAGGCTCTGAGTTCAAACCTCAGTCCCATGAAAAAATGTCACATAACTGAAATAAACTATGTTTACATGATTACTGATTGTAATGTATTATTATTTTTTTTTTTTTGTCGGTCGTGGGGCTTGAACTCTGGGCCTGGGCGCTGTCCCTCAGCTCTTCAGCTCAAGGCGAGCGCTCTACCACTTGAGCTACAGCGCCACTTCCGGTTTTCTGGTGGTTTATTGGAGATAGGAGTCTCACGGTCTCTCCTGCCCGGGCTGGCTTTGAACCGCGATCCTCAGATCTCAGCCTCCTGAGTAGCTAGGATTACAGGCGTGAGCCACCAGCACCCGGCTGTAATGTATTATTTTGTTCTTTTCAAAATCTACACACATTAAAACTTATTAACTACTGAATAGAGTTATGATAAAGTGTATTTAACATTGTAGTCACATTTTTGAGAAGCTCTGATTCCAAAAATCATAATTATAATAATCAATTTTAATAATAAAACAAGATAAATGCTGAAGTTTCAAGACATTAAACTAAAACTATAAAAGTTGAGCTGATCTATACATATCTAAGTACAAAAGATTATCATATGTAGAGCTATATAACAAATGAAAGAACAGGAAAAAAAAGCTACAAAAAGTTTGCATCCCCTTTACCCACTATAGGTATAAATAATTAAGAACTACATAATGAAATAGTAATATGCCTTCAAGTTACTTACATCATCAGTGATACAAAGATATACAATCCTGTCTTGGCAGATGTAATGAAACAAATAACTGTAGAATAAAAGATATATAACTTACTTTGGTTAAAAGCAATATTCCTTTTATATCTATCTTGTATGTATGCATAGGCAAACCCAATAATGCTAACATATTATTTGCAAATAAAATTGATTCTCTTCCTCGCTTTCCTCATACATCTGTTTCTCTCAATTTAAACCAACAGGAGTGAATAAGAAGTTCTCTACCCTAATGACATAAAACAAAAGCATGTGTGTTACCCATTAAAATTACTCCTATAAAAGGATAATTGGGCTCTTCAGGCATGAATAAGAGAAGACATCTTAAATTAAGTATTAGTATCAATGGACCACATGGCTTTCCTTGCTTTTTACTAATATCTCAAAGCAAATACCTTTTCTACCAAATGCTCAATAATATTTGTTTGAGTATCTAGTTCGATCCAGTTATCATATTACATATGAGGATATCAAAATGCAAAACTTATCCCTGTCTTGCTGAGGATCACAGTGCAAGTAATTGCAGTATAGTGTAGCTAATATAATGATGATAAAGTTAAAGGCAGTACATGGTACTCTGGGGATGCACAGGACACAGGTAACAGAGATTTGCTCAAGGGTACCAGAAAAGACTCCTTGGAAATAATGATGTCTGATCTGAGACCTGAAGAATAAGTAAGAGAATGCAACTCAAAGAATCATCAAGAGATAAATGAGCTAGATATAAATGAGCATATAATAGATCTAGGAAAGTAAAATTCATTCACATGTCTAAAGTACAGAACATGGAGAAAAATAAATTACCTGAAGGGATGATAATAGGGATATAACCAGATGCCAGGTTATACATATATATGGTATTATTATCTTAAGAAAAATGAACAAGCATTAATAGCTTTTATCCTGGGGGAGAATGTTGCCAGATTTGCTAATGACTACCAAAATCTAAGTATCATCTATCCCTTGCGCTCCAGTCTGACCTACACTAGTGTCTGTTAAACACATCCAATTGAACATACCATAGACAATTAAACATAACGTCCCAAACTAAGAGTTATCATTTTCTCTATTAATCTCTCCTAGGACATATTTAGGAGTCACTGGTGCAAAGTCCATAAACAATATCAAGGTATGATCCTGCTCATCAAGGAGCCTAAAGTCAGGTGACAGAGAAAACCAAGATTGTAGTTACAACACAGTGTGACAAGTGCTAAACTAGATGGTAGGTAGATACATAGAAGCACCCCAGTCTTGGAGTTTCGTACTTTGTATAAGGTGAACTATCTTAAGTTCAGAGAGAAAATGGCAGAATTTTAAAATTAGGGTATGGTAAGTACATTCCAATAAAAATTAAGAGCTATTGTCAAGGACAGAAAGAAAAAAACATCATTGAGCTGTACATTGTTAAGTATGGCTGTAGAACAAACTTGAGGACTCACGTACTGAAAAACAATACTAGAGAAGGGAAAAGGGGAAAGGGAATAGATGAAAAAGAATAGATTGGAAAACTTCTTGGAGAATGACAAGGATTTAGTGAAGAAGTCTAATATGATTTTCAAGTTTAGGCTTAGCCAGTTGAGTAGCCAGTAATGTTGCTAAAGTAAAAAGGAATATGAAGAACAGCTTTCAGAAGAAAAACACTAAACATAAAGTAAAACAGACTTTCTTCTTTAGGTATAAAGTAAGAAGATGTTTTATTGAATTGGTGAACAAAAGAATAGAACAGAAATTAAGGCAGAAGAATAGAAAGAAAATTGTAAGTGATGGAGCCTCACCCCATAGGTCACAGGGATAGACTGCACCAGGATGAAAATGGAAAAGCACAGCAGATACCTTCTTCTACTAAAATTGACATTGTAACTAGATTATTATAGCTTCCTTTGTAATTAGGTGTGACTATGTTACTAAGTCCTGGCTCATAAAAATATAAGCAGAACATGTTTCCTATATTCCTCTTAAAAGATTTTCTTGACCATTTTCCTAGAAAATAATTAGAAACACACACACACACACACACACACACACACACACACACACACACACACACACACACACAAACACACTATAAGCCTTATAAAGTTCTTAAGAAACTCTATAGCCATATTCACTAGAGAGTGAGATTAACTCCTATAGAAATCTCTGGGTCCCCCAAACCATACTGCAGGAAGCAGATATAAAACCTGTATAGTTCTCAAAGATGACACATTTTCTTATACTCACTTGGGACATGGCCAAAAGGTATAGCTGACCAAAAAGAACTTCCTGGATAACAAGAGCAGGAGTTATGGAGAAAGTACGGAGTTTCTCCAACAAGCAGAACCACTAAAAGACCCTCATCAGAGACTTTGAAATTGCTATGAAGCAGTTATGTGATCATTGTTAGGCCATACTCACTTCTACATGTTTCTTGGAAAACTTTTAACCACCATTTCTGAAACACTCATCTCTGGACTCTCATTACATTTATTTTGTATCTTAAGAGTTTTTCTCATAGTAGCTTAGAGTAGACAAAATTATAAAAAGGAGTTACCCCTAGAAAATAAGAACTTTGAAATAAGAACTAAGGAAATAAGGATTGATTAAGAAACAAAAGATTCTTTAAACATCATTGAGGAAAGCTGAGTCATTTTTATGGGATTATTCAGATTTCCCAGTTAGGATTCCTCCAATAAGCCACCAAAGTCATCTTTATAAAGAAAAAGGTATCATATCCTAAAAACTTTCAATGCTTTTCCACTTCCCAAAGGGGAAATGTAAATTCCTACTTCCAAACTCTTCTTTAAAAAAATATATTTTATTTTTATTATAGAGGTGGTATACAGAGGGGTTACAGTTACAGAAGTCAAGTAAAGAGTACATTTCTTTTTAGACCATGTCATTCCTTCCCTCACTTTCTCCCAGTTTTTCCCGCTTGTCCCCACCCACAAATTGTATAGTTCATTTTCCAGTGTCTAATGAGTACCAGTGCTGCTGCGTTTATTTACCCTTTGACCCTCTTTTTCTGTGCCCTCTTACCCTTCCAGAGACAAATAAACTAACAAAAATAGACAAGAGGAAAAGACAACAAAAACAGCAGCAACAACAAAAAAATCTTGTTTCTATACCTTAGAGTTATTTTGTAAAATATTATTTTATATGATCAGATACACATGGCTATTGAGCCTTTGTGATCCATTCCTATGAATATCCTCCTTTGGTCTCACTATGTGACTGTCTAAAGACCAGTATAATTTATCATGTTCCAGTGTATTTTTTTAACTAGCTATGTGTTTACTTGTAGATTTACAGGCACATTCTAGTTACCACAAATGAGGGAAACCATTCAACCTATGTTTATTTGGATCTAGCTTATTTTGTTTAATATCATTTTCCCCAAGTCTTTCCATTTCCTTACAAATGATACAATATCATTCTGATGGAAGAGTAGAATCCCCTTCCATTACATTAATTCCATTGATACCACATTTTCTTGATTCATTCATCCACTGAGGAGCATCTGGGTTGATTCAATATCTTGGCTATGGTAAACAATGCTGCAATAAACATGGTTGTGCTGGACACTTTAGTGTGGCACTAGAATCAATTCTAAACGGGTCAAAGATTAAACATACCACAAAAATATTACAGGAAGAAATCTGGTAAACACTAGGGCTCCTAGGCATGGGTCAAAACTTCCTAAGTAAAAATCCAGAATCACAAAAAAATCGGCATTGTATCAAAGTGAAGAGTTTCTGCATGGCAAAGGACATAGCTAGCAAGATAAATAGAAAGCCCACAGAATGGGAGAAGATTTTTACCAGCTATGCATCAAAGACCTCATATTAAAATACACTTAGAGCTCAAAAAATTAACCCACCCAAAATAAACCTTCAAAGAACAAACAACCCAATTAATGAATGGGCTAAAGACTTAAAGAGAAACTTCTCAGAGGAAGAAGTAAGAATGCCAATAGACTCATGAAGAAATGTTAGATATCCTGGCCATAAAAGAAATGCAAATCAAAACAACATTGAGATTCTCTATCACCCCAGTTAGAATGACCATTATCAAGAAAACCATTAACAACAAATGCTGGCAGGGATGTGGCCAAAAGAGAACCCTACTACACTGTTGATGGAAATGTAAACTTGTTTAACCACTCTGGAAAGCAGTATGGAGGTTTCTCAAAAGACTAAAAGTGGAGCTTCCCTATGACCTAGCAATTCCACCCACTTCCAGACTCTTAACATGCACTATGAAGCCCTACGTGAATTTTCTGCTATCCATCTTTATCTTTACCATCCAAGGTAACAAAAAACAACTTACAGATCCCTAAATAGGATTACATACATCCATAAGTTTCTACCTACTGTTCCTCTTAATTAGAATGCTACCCACCTACCACTACCTACCCAATCTATTATACTTATCTATGGATTTTTTCATTAAATTATAATCTCTATTAGGCAAATACTACATTTCTTGTTATATCACTAAGCAAAGTGCCTAGCAATAGTTAGGTACTATGTGAATTTCATAAAAAGAACAATGGAATACTTTTATTATCATTTCTTATATCCTATAACTCTACAATAAAGTCAATTTTGCATCAACATTTCCATATCTTCCTTTAAAATAATATCATCACTTCAATAACAGAATAAAATAACTGTAAGTTTATAAGCTTTTTTTTCTAAGTTCGTAAAAGTAACTGATCTGTCAGCTCATTCAAATTAATCTACCTAAAAAGCTTGCTTTCTACTTTTTTTGGGGTTCAGATTACAAAATTCTTTTGTTCCCTTTACCACATGCAGATCAGAACTCACTTGCCATGTGAGTACGTTAGTTTGTTATTTTCAGAAGGTATCTTAGCCAGAATCTGCTCTGTCACCTCCAGGAAGTTTCCTCCACACCAAGCATGTTTGGCAAGGATCGTGGTTCCCCGGGCAACAACAGCAAAAAGAATGGCCATGGCTTCACAGTCTATTTTAAAGAAAAAACACACACACAGATACAGATTTTTAGCATATTTCTTTAACATGATCTTTCAAAAGCAACTATAATTTATCAAAATTCACCTAGCGACATTGAAAGTAACAAAAGACTTAAAAAGAGCTGGGAGCATAACACAGTGGTAGAAACCATATGTAGTATTTGCAAAGGCCTGGGTTTGATCTCTAGCACCAACAAGAAAGACAGACCAATAAGGTCCCAGTCTTCCACAAGCTTACAAATTAACCTGCACTTACATCCACATACCAGTGATACATTGCAACATTGCATTTACAATTGTAACATAAACTGATACTATCTTTTTGAAAAGCAATGAACATAAATAGCAGAAACATCCTGAAATTTTATCATAGAGAAATTGTTTAACATAATTAGATTCTAGATTCACACAAAATCCATATTTATTAAATGGTCATGATGTGACAGGAACTACTTTAAGTATTTTGTAATTGTTTACCCATTTAATTCTAACAACTCAATGAAATTATACATATGCTGACACACCTATTACAGATGAGGAAACTGATTTTTCCCCAATTACAGGGGTAAAGGAGCTATAATTTAAACTCAGGAACTACGACTCTAGAATCTACAATTTTATAGTGATATGGTTTACTACTTCTAAAATAAAGACATTATCTATAATAGAAATAAAGTGAAAAAGTAAAAACTTTCCACAAGAGGGAAGTGGTTTTAAAAACTGTGGTAAGAGCTTTCATAAAATGTTACTAAAATGATATGGCATGAGTTTAAGATATTTCCTTATGTTTGGCTATGAATATGTGCTATTTCCCACAATACAACAGACTAGTTGCTCTTATTTAATGACATAAACTTTCAAAGATGAACAAATAAATTCCTCAACCTAATATTATTGATGATCATGTTCATTATCACCTACGACATCAGAGGCTCTAAAACTATAATGAGAATACAAATTATCTTAGTGGCAGAATAAGAGTCACTTGCTAAAAACTCAAATTCTTGGCATAATTTCATAAAATTCTGATTCTGTAAACCTGAAGTGCAGCCTTGGAATCTGGTTTTAAAGTAAGTTTGTATGGATGTAGATGATTCAGATAACCATATTTGTGAGACACAGCAGCAGGCTATTAAGTGCTTAGCATCTAAGGTCTCTTATTTAAGAGTCCTTACTGAAATCCCAGAACTAAATTAACACAATACGCAGAACAGAAGGCACTCATCTGCCTCTTCAGATGTATTCCTCTTAGGATGTCTTCAGAATTCCTGTGTAAATAATGTTGTTCTCCAAGGCTGGGTCCTCAGATTCTTCTTTCTGGAATTCTCTGCAGAAAGTTACAGTTTCAAAATCACTGTGTACATTTAATACCATTGACCAAAGGTTTCCTCAATCATATATAATGCTCTGGGTACTACTGTATTTCTTAGTCTCTTGTCTATACATTATCTTGCTTTTCTACTTCCTTCAACTTACTATATTCTGGCTTGTCCTCTTACTGCTCCATAATAAGATGCTTCCTAATCACCAATAGCTACTATGTTGTAAAGTACAGTGGTCATTTATTTATTCTCACCCCTCTTAACTTCCAGGAACCATGAACACCCTAGATCAATCTTCCTTCCTGAAACATTCCTATATTTGTTGATGCCTTTTCTATTTTCCTGTTTACTTGCTCTCTATTTTACCACTAAATGTTGATTTCCCTAAGGGATTGATTCTAAACTCTTATTATCCCCACATAAATCCTTCTGGATGTACTATTTTAAATATGACTTATCTGAAGATGCACTTCATATAGAAAAAGAGAAGAGTGTTGATGATAAAACTGAATCCACAAGCCAGAAGAGTGTAGTAGCTCAGAGGACAAAGGGAAAGAAAACTTCAAGAAACAATTGTCAGGGGTTAGCTATGTTTATGATAGAAATTAAGCACTATAAAACAGTCACTGCAATTTTATAAGAAAGGGGCCCATTGTTTGGAGGCAAAGAAACACACACACACAAAATCTTCTGGACACACACACACACACACACACACACACACACACACACACACAAATCTTCTGGTCCTCCAGACAAAAAGATGAAATAGTAGCAGTCTTAGTTCTGTGCAGTTCCAAGAAAACTAAGTTTTATAACAATACAAAAAAATCTATTCAAGTTCAGGCTTGAACTCAAGACTCAGATCCTACCCCTTAGCTTTTCTGCTCAAGTCTAGAACTCCACTACTTAAGCAACAGCTCTAATTCCTTAGGGTAGTTTGGTGGAGATAAATCTCATGGGTTTTCCTGCCCAGGATGGCTTCCAATCGTAATCCTCAGATCTCAGCCTCCTGAGTATCTAGGATTACAGGCAAACCACTGGTGCCCAGCAGAAAAATCCACTGTTTTAGCAAACCACAAATTCATGACAAATCAAGGATATGAGGTATGTACTTAAAATGTTAACATAAAATTAAATCACAGTAAGATATAAAGTGCCTTGATCTCTTTAAGTACTACTGACATTAAAGTCTGTGCTGCTTAGAAACATGTGTAATACTGAATTCAATTCTGAGTATCTCAAGGTTGGACAGAAGGGAGACAGAATGGGTTAGCAACCATTATATTATATCAAGAACAGCTAGAAGCTAGGTGTTGATGGCTCATGCCTGTAATCCTAACTACCCAGGAGGCTGAGATCTGAGGATCAAAGTTCGGAAGTAGCCCAGGCAAACAAATCCACAAGACTCTTATTTCCAATTAATTAGCCAAAGCCAGAACTGGAGGTGTGGCTCAAGTGGTAGAATGCCAGCCATAAATGAAAAAGCTAAGCAATAAATAGCATGAGGCCTGGAGTTCACACACACACACACACACACACACACACACACACACACACACACACACACACACACACACACACACACACACACACACACACACACAAATGGCCAGAACAAGAAATATTTAACATGAAAAAAGAAAATATCCTCGTTTCCCAGATCTGTATTTCAGTGTTTACAAGGGAGGGTTACCTTTCCTCACTTCCCTTTTGACAGAGATTAGAAGTACTTCTTTAAGAAAAAAGTAAATTTGAGAAATTGTAAAAAAAAAAGAAAAAGAAAAAGAAAATATAATAGTAAATTCAAGTTTATATAGAATATGGCCAGTTGGAATAAGGAGTACATCACTCAGCATAAAACTAGGAATAATAAATATAAAGAAGTAGAGTATTATTTTTAGATAAAAGTAATTCCTAAATTTCCTCTCTTTCTTCCCCAAACCTTTATCCTATCTTTTCCTTCAGTCATATTAGAGGCCTGTCCATAGAACTCTGTGATAGAAAGCTTGAAGTCACTGTGTTAAATTTCCAAATAAAAGGTATTTTTGTTCCAGTTGCTAAGTTCCAGTTTCAAAAGATATGCTGTAGTTGAATTCAAATGAGAGAAGCAATTAATTGGTGTAACAAGTGAAATGCCCTTTTATATTATTATTTATATAGGAAGAGCTTATATTATACAAGAGCTTCAAACAGCAAGCTTAAAAAAGAAACTTTCAAAATATATCCATTTGTAAGGGATTACCTGTATGAAATATTTAGTAATAGCAAAGGAAAATACAAATGTCTGGATGAACATTTCACTAGAGGTTGAAACTAGTTTCAGGGAACTGAGTGGGGGGAAAGATCAAGTCTTGAGTATTCCTCACACTCAACTCCATGTGATCTGAGAATTTTTAAAAATTCTATATTGTTATTATAATATTAAAAAGGTTATAAGACTGTTGTGGATCATCTAATGTACACTTTACAAATAAAAAAGGTATAAAATCCAGTGCTGCATTTATATTCATGTTTATGAAGGCAAAGTTGTGAAGAAATTCACCCAAAATGCCAGAACTTTTTAGTGTCTTGAAAGCATGTCTGGTTGATCTTTGGTTGACACTCCCTAAAATTATGATACTCATGGCTTAAACACTCTCATGTTTCCATTGTTTTCAATTAGTTTTAAAGAACAAATTTGTTCTTAGTAGTAACAATTTAAAATTGAAAGATAACTGCAGGGAATAAGACTTGAATTTTTATTTTTTATTTTTTTTGGGGGGGGAGGGGGTTCCGGTTGTGGGGCCTGAACTCTGGGCCTGGGCGCTGTCCCTCAGCTCTTCAGCTCAAGGCTAACACTCTACCACTCGAGCCACAGCGCCACTTCCGGCTTTTTTTTCCTGCTTCTGTGGTGCTGAGGAGTTGAACCCAGGGCCTCAGGCATGCAAGGCAAGCGCTCTACCACTGAGCCACCTTCCCAGCCCGACTTGAATTTTTAAAATTGAGACTTTTATCTAACATTTTGAAAATAATATCGTGGCATTATAACAGTAACATGTAAATTACTTCAGACTTAGGAGTAAATATTCAAATATTCATTTTTAATAAGGAAAAACCAAATTACATCGCAATGTGATATGCAAAGATTGTACAACCTTTAAAGGAAGTAAAAGAATTTAACTCATACAGTACATGATAGTAATCAGTATAATATCCAAAGAAAGCACTGTGTACCATTATTTGCATGTCTGAAAAGGGATGGTTTACATTATTAGCTCTTGCAACAGTTTCATTGCAAAATGTCTCATAGGGCGGACAAAATTTCCATGTTGCATACTATAGGTTAAATGGCCCATTTAATTAAAAGGTCCATGAGATACTGAGGAAAGTGATAGGAACTAATCTTTTAAGGTATAATACAAGGAGAGAAGACACAGAAGTGAAAACAACCTAAGATGGGTAATAGATTAGCCTAATATGTAAATTAAGTCAATTGAATTTGTTCAAAGAGAGTCTATTTCTATTTCAGTTCCAGCCAAGCAGAAGACAATGGAGATACAAAGTTGAATAAAAGTTGATATAAAGGACTCTTGTGCCCAAGAGAGCAAAAGTACAATGAGAAACAGACTTTATAAAGCAAATACAATAACTCATTAGGAATAAGTAATCTAAAAATGTCCACAATTATTCAGATTTCTTAAAATTCTGTGATTATCTCACTTTGGATAAAGGAATGAATGAAGGTGTTACTTGTATATTAGCAGTTTCCTTGTATAATGTTAGCATTAGTTCTACTTAGAAAAAAGGTCAAAGTGTTCATTTTACCCTGTTTTCCCAGTGTTCAGCACAGTGCCTAGCATCTAATATCACTCGAATATTTGTTGAATAAATGAGTGAACACTAAATGTGTTTTGGTCTTAAATACAGTATAGATGGTAGATAACTTTATGTTTATATTTTATATTTATATTTATATTTATATATTTAGTAGGACCTGGTAAGAACGATTTCACTACCAAACTATCTCTCATTTAGATAAAGCAGTTGAACAGTTAGTAATCCAATCCCCAACTCTTTGTGGCTCTTAGAAGGAAATAGGCCAATTACAGCTAAACTTCAAATTGTGATGCAATAATCTCGGAGGAAACATAAAAACTAAGAACATAGCTATGAGAAAAATAAAATGTTCATGAAAAGTGAAGTTACTTTTTGTGTTGGTATCACAAATATTCTTTATGAACAATACTGAGACCTCACCAAATCCCTCTGATGTTCTCAGCATATAATTCTACCCTGTCAAGTCAACCACCCTTTTAAATTTTGCATTAAACAACATATAACATATTGATTATTCCTGTTTATCCTTGCCATCTAAACATGTAATTTCCTGACAAGTGTGTGTTCTATATTACTTACAACTAGCTGTTTCCCTACACATTAAAAAGTATATATCTGTTACAGTATATATAGTATATATCAGTTATTTAATAAATTATGGTACACATACAAATGGACTTGCTCCCCACACTAGCTACTCAAAGGGAAAGAATGTTTCATACATTAACAGCATGATCTGGGATCAAATGTGGGAAACTGGTACTTCAGGTAGTTGAGAACAATTAAGATAGAAAGAAAAGGATTTGATCACTGTGAGAGTTACAGGAAATAAAGATGTATTTATCAAAAAGCCAAGCACATGATCAATTTGATAGCTATTGGCTATCAATAAAAATAACAATATCATATAGATCTGATGCCAGAAAATAGATCTGAGTGGAAATACAATCCCTACTGAAACCGAGGAGAAAGAAGAATGTCAATATTAGGAAGTGGAAGAAGATGTAGGGTGATAGGAACTCGAAAAGGAGCATAAGCAGTCACAAGTAGGAGGGATAGCAGAAAGTGATGTCACTGAAAAAACGCAAAACGAATTTTTAGAAGACCGGCTATCAAATGCTACAGAAAGGTCTAACAGAACACGAAGAGTGGAAGTTAACATTTTTCCATCCTGTAACGACAACTGAAGTGACGCGTTCTGACACTCTAACTATAGGCCTTTTCAGTGGCGTACAACACACTTTGCCCAAACTGGACCTACTGAGCAATTCAAACTGTCGACATCGAGAAACCCCAGTCACCCTTACTCTGCCTCCACCCCAACACCTTTAAGTCTACACCTTCGCGTTCTCTCCGTCATCGTCCCTCGCTTCCCGCGGAGAACGTCTCGTTCTGTTTACCTGTCCGGGCACCCTCTGGGGCACACGGGCTCGTGACCGAGGGTCGCAGATTGGCCCAGAGCTGCCCGCTGCGCTCACCCAGAGAAGGACGGGCTTGAACAGGCTGACTTCCGCGTAAAGCGCCCCCACCCACTACGTATGGCCTCCTGGGAGTGTGAGCGCTCCTCCAATGGGAAGGGCAGTAGGGCGGGAACTACACGTTCCCAGCTACCCATCAGTCCACGAACCACACTGCATTATGGGACTTGTAGTTCCTGGGGCAGACTTGCCGGGCCTGTCACACTTGGGGTTAAGATTCCTGTTGTACACAACAGCAAATGGTGTAGGAGGTTTCTAGAAAATGACAGAATGCAAGTGTGGAAAAAAAAAATATGAATCTACCAGTATTGAGTAAACTAGTAAATGATGAGCTTCCGTAGGCATCTCCCTTCGGTCTCCCATAGCAATTAAAGTTACTTCATAGACAATATAGAAGTTATCTGACAGAAACTCCCTCTATTTCCACCAAGAAAATTAACCAGTTTCCCTGTACCCCTCACTATCATTTCTCCCATTCTACTATTATTGTGGTGGTAGTTATTTACTGCTTCTTTCTTTTGATTCTCCCATCTCTCTAGTCCACAATTCTCAACATTGTTCCTAAAACAAATACTTTACAAAACCTCTTTTTCTCTAAAATCAGGCCATTTCTAAAGTCTATAAAGTTCAATCCATTTCTGCAAGAAACTTCTTACTCTCTAGTTTTTCCCAAGACACTACACTCCCACTCCTGTGACAGCTCATTTTCCTTTGAAAAGTTCATGTTCTATGAGGCTCTTCCCTATACTTTCTTAATCCTCCCTATTACTTTGGTTGACTTTTTTTTTTCTCGGTCGTGGAGCTTGAACTCTGGGCCTGGGCACTATCCCTGTGCTCTTCAGCTCAAGGCGAGCACTCTACCGCTTGAGCCACAGTGCCACTTCCAGTTTTCTAGTGGTTTATTGGAGATAAGAGTCTCTCGGACTTTCCTGCCCGGGCTGGCTTGGAACTGTGATCCTCAGATATCAGCCTCCTGAATAGCTAGGATTACAGGTGTGAACCATGGGCACCCGGCCTTGCTTGAATTCTACATGTTGATATTTCCCATATATAGTAACCCTAGACAAGACTCCCATATTTCAGAGTCAATTATCTAATGATAAATGGACCAAAACTTTTCAGGTACCTGAAACTTAAAAGTACTCCCCAATTGACCTAATACATTTCTACTCTTCCCTAACCTGCTTGTACATCTCCTCTTAATCGCATGTCTCAACCAGTCAGTTTACCACACCAGTAAGCTGGGTATTATTTTGAATGGGTAGATTTCCTCAAAGTTATATTAGACAAAAGCAAGCTATATTGATTCTATCTCCTAAAAATTTCCTCTCATCAAGCTTCAGTTTTCTTATCTTTAAAATGAAGATAGTAATAGTGATTGTCCTCAAAGATTGTCACGATTAGTAAGCAGTAGAGCCAAACTAAAAAGAAACAGTATTACTGAGCAAACATTATGTTTACCACTAATTATCCTTCATTAGATCTTTATTAGATAATAATGATAGCTAGCATTCATTAGTTTATTTAGGCAGAGAGAAAGAAAAATGGCAAAGGTTTAAATATTTTGTTCAAGTTACTCTTCATTTCTCAGTGTTTTCCCATGCATACCAAGAATATAATACTAATCATAAGGTACTATAACAAGTAGTACTACCCTAAGTATGGTATAATATATCTTGGTTATTATGTATGCCTTTGGATGAACTATATACAAACTGAAGCACATTCAGAGAATAGTGACAAAAATGAATTTGGTACTATAGATCAGAAATAATATTACTAATCTTATCTCCTGCAAAATTGGAGACCATTCATAGTATGATCTTTATCTACCTCTCTTGCTTTAGGTCTTCTCCACCGACTCCCACACATTGCATTCAAGCCTGTTCCTATATGGTAAGTATGATAGCTAATTTTTCAATCAACTTTATGGTGCCAAGATTAAACATCACCTTTAGGTGTGTTTGTGAGAGTGTTCCGGAATGATATTACCATTTGAATTAGTGGAATCAGTAAAATAGGTTGTCCTTCCACAATGTGAATAGCATCATCTAGCTCACTGAAGATCTAAATAAAAGGAAAATGAGAAAATTGTTTCTTTTGACTACTTCACTGTGGAGTTGGGACATTTCATCTCATCTTCTGTACTCAGAGTGGGATTTTATACTAGTGGCTACCATGGTTCTCAGGCAGACTGTGCTTTCCTAGGATATCTGGTTACAGATGATAGATTTACAGCTTCTATAATCATCTGAGTTGATTCTTTAATAATCCCTTGTTCTCTATGAGATTTCTTGTGGACTCTATTTCTATTCTTATTACTTCATATTCTCTCCAAAAGTAATCTCATCCATATTCCAAAATTTATATATTCAATACAAGCCCTTGTATCAGGAAATCAAGGAAGGCCTCCAGGAAGGTATAAGATTTAAGCCAAAACCTGAAGGTAAAAAATAGAGTCAGCCACTAAAAGATAAAAAGGAACATAAATAAGGCTAGTGTGATAGGAGCGTACTGGCAGTTCAGAGGGAATAACAAGAGAGGAAAGCACAGTCTTTTTGCCCCACAAATTTATCGTTTCTTCACACATTACAGTTTCTACACCAGCTCCCTTATGTTTAAGAATGTGTTCTCCTTTGCTTTCTTGTGTACAGGAGGTCTTGCACAATTATGCGATCCATGAAAAATAATTTGGATTTTAAATCAGTACAGAAGTTCAAGTAGAACATTGAAATGATTAAAAATGTATTTTTACCTTTATTTGGCTTTTTTTTAGCATGCCAATAAATGTGCATTTTTTCCAAACGTTGGGTAGTTTCCAAGAAAATGCAGAAACATTTGAACAGCTATACAATTTTCAAACTTAGAATTCCTGTTACTATTTCTTCAAAGTTACCAAAGCAAAATCTCTTTCTTGATGATTATAAATAAGTTGTATTCATAAAACAAATACTCTGCCATTTCAGTTCCTATAGATGCCAAGCTTGGAATTAAAGAACTGACAGTTTAAATAATGTGAATCACTTGTACATCCAAGAAACCTGGTCTTGGTCTTGACAAAGGTTACAAAATTAAGAAGAGATGTACCATGAATTACAACCAGCCCCGATTTACTTGGTGCTTGAAATGTCTGTTCACCCAGCATAAGAAAACATATCACACAGGGCTCTAGTCATATCTGAGAGATTCTTGTTTTATGTTCTGTTCGTCATAAATGATTTTGATGTATTATTTTGTGGTTTGCAAACAAATCTAGTGGCTTCATTATGTTGGAATCAAAATTATTCATGTTTATTGCAGTGTGTTGCTAATTTTCATTGCTATTTATGTAGCTTTCCTCCTAGATTTTCAGACTTGGGCAACTTTTCTGGAATTCTGTGCTTAATACATACCTACATTCTGCATGCTTGTTTTTTTTTTTTTAAGTTCACAATTAGCAGAAGGAGTTAAAATGGGATCTTACAAGAACTAACCAGGTTTCTGAGAAAACTATATCTCTTCCAAGCATCAAGCTCCCAGTAATCTAACTACTTCCCTCTAAGCCTAATTTCTTAAAAGTTCTACTGTCTCTTAACATTACCACACTGAGGACCAATCTTTCAGCATTCGAATTCATGAGTGATAAACCAGTCAAAACCATAGCAAAGCTAGGCAGCAGTGGCTCATGTATATAAATGCTAGTTAATGAGGAGTCTGAGATCAGGAAGACTGTGGTTGGAAGCCAGCCCAGGTTAAAAAAAAAGTTCATAAAAAAAAGTCCATGAGATTTTATCTCCAAAATAATAAACACAAAGTGATGCTGGAGGTGTGGCTCAAATGGGAAAATGTTACTTGGGCAGGTGGAAGTCCCTGAATTCAAAACACCACACTATAAAAAGTATTTTATTTACTAAGTTGCTTTTCTCCTCTATGTTGTAAATGTTAACCTCCCTTGCTGATTGTCTCTCTTTTATTTAACTATTTTTCAAGAAACACATAGAAAAAAATTTTTTGGGCCCGGTCGTGGGGCTGAACTCTGGGCCTGGGCACTGTCCCGCAGCTCTTCAGCTCAAAGCTAGCACTCTACCACTTGAGCCACAGCGCCACTTCCAGCTTTTTTTTCTGCTTATGTGGTGCTGAGGAATCGAACCCAGGGCCTCATGCATGCAAGGCAAGCGCTCTACCACTGAATCACCTTCCCAGCCCCATACATAGAAAATTTATAAATAAATTTTGACTTTTCTTTCTTACCTACTAACTTCTAACTCTGGAAAATTAAGAACTTACTATATTTTACTGCCTTAACTAACACATTACATGGAGTATAACAGAAAAGACCTGCTTCACAGAAAAATAAAAATTCTAAGAAATAATGATTCCAAGACTTGGTGTAGAAAATAGAATTTGAGCACTGATGGTAACACTTCTTAAGTTTCAAAGTTTTATTTTTTCCTCCTGCAGTAGAGCTTGAACCCAGAACCTCTCATATAGTAGGCAAGCATTCTACCACTGAGCCATATTCTCAGCCCAAGTTTCATAGTGTCTAAGAATAGAAAAGATTGTGTTAACATCCATAAAAGGGTTGACTTGAAATATTTAACTTATCAATTTTGGGGGGGGGGTCCGGTCGTGGGGCCTGAACTCTGGACCTGAGCGCTGTCCCTCAGTTCTTCAGCTCAAGGCTAGCACTCTACCACTTGAGCCACAGCGCCACTTCCGGCTTTTTTCATTTTGCTTATGTGGTGCTGAGGAATCAAACCCAGGGCCTCAGGCATGCAAGGCAAGCGCTCTACCACTGAGCCATCTTCCCAGCCCTGATCTTTTTTTTTTTTAACCCCGATACTCATGAGTTTGTGACAGACAGATGCTCTTATCAGGCATTCACGATTGTAGTCAAAAGTTTTAAAATGGAAAAGTGGTAGGATGAGATTGCTGGCCCAATGAAATTACTTTTTACATGTAATATATACTAATAAAGTTTTTTATTTTTTAATTTTTGTCGGTAGCGGGACTCTGGGACTGGGTGCTGTCCCTCAGCTCTTCAGCTGAAGATAAGCACT